GGAGTTGAACTCTGTCTTGAGATTTTCATTGAAAAAACTTTGGATAACTTATTTGTCATTTCAGTGTTTATTGTGACTTTATAATAATAAATACATGAATTCGATAACTGAAATCTCAGAGGGTTACTAACATGAAACTACAGTGTTTCTTGTGAAACAATTGTTTTGAAATGATAATCATAGATTTTTTCATCAGAATATAAAATATATTCACTTATAGAAGCTGAAAATTAAAAAGGTAGATTCGGAGTGTAAACATGAAAACACTAGAGTGAAGTCATCAAACCCGTGAAAATTTCGAATTTTTAAATTAAAATTAAATTAAACATGCAAAATAAAGAATAATTAAGTGTAGTACGGTAAAGTATGTTTCACTTTACTTAAGAAAACCATTCTAAAATCTTCTAGATTAGATTCTRTCAACAGGTTTATCGTTTGCACTCTACAACACTCATTATCCCAGCTTCCACTATCAACAAAAAATGTGACAACGTTCTTTTTATAGGGACATGGTCCACCAGCATTCCTTTCAAGCTTTTGCTCATGTTTGAAAATAATATAAATCATAATATAAGCAAAAGCTTACTCTTTATTATTCCTTAATATGAATGGAGATACTATAAGATTCGACCTTTAAACTGCTGGATGATAACGGATTGCGAATGGGTATTCAAAGTCACCTCATTTTCCATATRTGAAAAATCTAAAACACGACCGCATTGAATGCTGGTGGACCATCTCCCTTTAAGGCTGATTTACACGGCACGATTGACTCGTGCGATTTGTAGTATACGACTTGAATTGCGCAGTGTAAATGCCCTTACAACTTGTCTACAACAGTCGTACACAACCTACGACTTGTAGTAGGGTTTTGAACCATTGCTTAAAATCCTACGACTTGTAGTAGGAAAATCGTATACTACAAGTCGCGCGCGACAAATCGTACCGTGTAAATCAGCCTTAAGAAGATGTCAAACCTTTAAATTAACCCTAAGTGCATTATGCTGAGGCAGGCTTCAAGCAGTACCAGCTGCTTGTCGTTCTCTTTGCTCTCGTATTCTTATATACATTGGCTCCTCAAGGGTGTCTTTTGATCGTTTTGTTTTCGGATGAGATGGACCCAAGACCTTCAGAAAACAACAGGAACGTGAACATCGATGGCAATAGTTATCAAATTTTGAAAATAATGATGATGATGATGACGATGATGATGATGTTAGTGATGATGATAATGATGATGATGATAATAATGATGATAATAATAAAAATATTGATGATGATGATGATGATGACATTGATAGTGATGACGATAATGACGATGATGATGATGACGACGTGGTACCTCTATTTTTGGAGGCAAAGAAAAATCATTTCAAAACAAAATCTTCTTTCATAGATAACAATGATAAACACAACTTTACATGGTTGCTTGGAGATGTATTCCATCTTCTCGTGTTGAAAATCTGATTCGTGARAGATCTTTTCAAMACWCAAAGATAAAATCCGTACCTTCACGCCCATGTAACAACATCAGTAACCTTTACCTCCATGCAGACTTTATTCCATTTTAAGAAATAATCATAAGCCTTCTGGAAATCTCGGTTATCCTCATACAAGATTCCAATATTTAAATATAATCTCAGGACAAGCATGTGTTTCTCTCCATAAGCTTTGACTGCGAGATCGAACGATGTGTTCAACATCTAAGTAAAAAAATAACATATTGGCTGCAGTGATTCATCGGCTACCTCATTTATTTATTGTCAATAAACCCTTTTAGCGATCTCTTTTACGTGGTGTTAGCCTCAAAACCATGTAATAAATTCTTTTATTCACAACAGTCCGTGCAAATGCAAGAGATCTGTGAGTATAGAAGACAATGGAAATAGTTTGAAATCTCAAGAGTTTTATCTACATTTGTGAATATTTTAGCACACAATTGAGGCTAACACAGCGTRAAAGAGATCGCGAAACTCAACTATTTTCTATATTCGCATTTTTTTCAAAAAGTCGAGTAAAACTTTCCAGTGACATATTAGCATAWTACTTGTGCCGCCCACGAGTTAATAAACAATCCGCGAGTTAACAATAACAATCTTAYTCGCAAACAGTCACTTCTTAGTTGCAAAATGATTGATGGGAAGGATTGTGTTGCATCAAGTAAASGTAAAGAAATCCCTTCCATCAATTCTCGCTATAGTCTCCTCTCGCAGCCGTTAGGACGTTCGTTCCCAGGTCCTCATGCTCNTTAAGCTACAATGACAACATATGATGTGTGATGAGAATACCAATCAATGCTTTCTTAAGCTACAATGACAACATATGATGTGTGATGAGAATACCAATCAATGCTTTCTTAAGCTACAATGACAACATATGATGTGTGATGAGAATACCAATCAATGCTTTCTTAAGCTACAATGACAACATATGATGTGTGATGAGAATACCAATCAATGCTTTCTTAAGCTACAATGACAACATATCGAATTAAAAAAAGAACAAAGGGATACGTACGGGAAGGAAAAGACAGGAAGGAACGAAGGAAGGAATGAGAGAGGGAAGGAATGGATGCAGGGTGAGAGGATGGAAGGAAGGAAGAGGGGAAAGGAGGGAGGAGTAGTGAAGGAAGGAAGGGAGGGAGGAAGAGGAAGGGAGTGAGAAATGGAGGAAATGAGGGAGGAGTAGGGAAGAAGGGAAGGAAGGGAAGGAAGGGAGAGAGAGATGGAGGGAGGAAGAGGAAAGGAGGTAGGAAGGGAGGGAGGGAAAAGGGAGGAAGGAAGGGATAGATGGAGGGAGGGCAGAAGAAGGGAAGAGAAGAAGGGACGGAGGGGGGAAGGAAGGKTSRGTGAGAGRAATGAAAAGAGGAWTGRAATGATAAATTTTTCATTTGTTATTTACCTCATGTTCTTCTCCTTCTAGCTTGTCACGGTAACTTAAAGACTTCTTTGCTAATGCTACTGTCTCCTGATCCTCCTCCAGTTGATCCATTGTCACAAAATTGTGATTCTTAACAATCTTCAAAAACACATTAGAATATAATAAGATAATATGAACCAAGTAGTAACATAGTTGTCCGTTTTTTCAGTACAGTTGAATGGACATCGAAAAGTGGTCGTATTAATGGTGTGACCGTTTTAACCAGATAGAAAAGTATGAGTTTAATTGGACGGGACATAACGAATCTGTCCGTTATAGCGGAGTGGTCGCATTAAGTGTGAATCCCTAAGAAGAGATTCCTCTGTAATAGAAATGGGGGTAGTTCTTGACTTCTTTGAGAACATTTGAAGGCTTACACATGCATAAGACCCATGCGACGCCAAAGATACAATACACTTTTGCTTTTTTGGAAACTACAAGCCGCTGTTTTGTCCTCAAGTCCTCAAGATGGAGCATAATTCCTATTCACTAACTACAAATGGTCTCCGTCAAATCAAACATTATCAAACAAAGTACAGGCGACTCGCACCTCGCTCTTAGTTTTCGCCATTAAATGGTAAATTTCTGCAAGCTTTGCTGCTCGTGCACCAAGTTGTTTCTCTTCAATCTCTAGCAATTCTTGTAACAGTTTATAGGAGTCTTCATACTGCCCTGCCTGAATACTGTTGAGACAATAATATTATAGATAATAAATAAATAATACATCAAATAAATATTACATCCCTTTATACAGCTATTGTAGCATTTCGTTTTTCAATTCCGTGACAAAAACGTAGACCTCGTGGTATCGTAAAGAGCCATTTTGAATTGCCCCCTGTAAAATTCAAAATGGCGACTGTTTTCATTATTTCTCTGCTTGAATTGATGCTATGTACCCCAGACTCAAACGATATACTGATAATTTTAATTGAGTAATAATTGCATGGTTTGAGAGTGCAGTTCTCCTATAAAACACTAGTCGCTCTAGTCTCCTTCACAGTTCCCTGCGCCATCTTGAAAGGTAGCCGTGCCTTTACATCGAAGCGAGACAAACGTTGAGCGTGCAATTATAGAAACCTTCTTTCACACACCTACAGACAATCATTCATAGGTATCTATCATTGCACGCCCAACGGTTGTCTCGCTTCGATGTAAAGGCACAGCTACCTTTCAAGATGGCGCAGGGAACCGTGAAGAAGACCATTGTTCAAGTTTGACTTACAGGAAAGTGACAACCATTTCCATTTTATCAGCATATGCATCCAAAGGAGCATCAGACTGCTTCAACACACCAAGGGACTCGGTGTACAATAACGARGCCGCAGCATAACCACCGGCCTTCTGCCAGGAACTCAATAAGTCAATACTAAAGTCTTCAGAGTACAAACGACCAAAGATTTCCCAGTCAAGAAGGCATCGGGTAAGTCGATTGTGATCTAGAAGCTGCTCCAGATGGTAAGGTAACTCCTGCAATTAAAATACTCCCTTTGTTAATAACTCCATACATTGCAAATTCGTCACACYTCTATGCTACAACGAGAAAATATTATACAACACTTTGTGATACGGTTTGTCCCTATAATGGTTGCTATACAAAACGATTTTTTACACAAAGTTTGTTTCAAAATAAGTGTTAAATTTATTCTTGAACTAGCCTTGAGCGAAAAATCGTCTTGTCTCGCAATAATAGTCTTCTTAACGGTTCCCTGCGYCATCTTGAAAGGTAGCCGTGCCTTTGCATCTAAGCGAGAGGACCGTTAAGCGTGCAATGATAGAAACGTTCTTTCACACCTACAGACAATTATTCACAGGTATCTATCATTTCACGCTCAATGGTTAAAAACACGGCTACCTTTCAAGATGGCGCAGGGAACCGTGAAGGAGACTATTTGCCTACTTTATTCAGCATTCTTGCTAGAGTACAAACATTAAATGCGTGCAACACTTTCCACTATTTACTACAAAATAGTGTTAATTAAACAATAGAAAACAATAGAAATAGCATAATTTAGCAGCATTTAGTGGTATTTATGTTGCACAGTTTTAGTGTTTTTATCTACAAACGTACCTCTGATTTTCTGTCATAGTCATCGTATTGTTCAAAGAACTCGGCATGT